GATTTTCATATACAGTATTTTGACAGTTTTCTACCTGGTTGTTAGCCGCGTCAGAACTAAACTACTCTTTCTGGAGTGGTTTTTGAATATCTTTTTATCTTTGAAGGGGAAAATTCAATTTCAGGTTTCTAGCTTTGGTGTGTGTTCATAAGTATAACCATTAAGGATACCATTCTAATGGATATTGCAAGTTTTACAAGCAGGAGTAATATTCAGCTTGGTTTCCAAAGATGGTACCTTGACTTTGACGGCTTGTGAGTCACAAACAGTTTCACATCTCCGCTTGATCGGTACAATTCTGTATCCATATTTCTGACTGGAGTTTCGTAGAAAACATCACCTAAAGTCACGAACCGTTCGGCCGATGGGTGAAAACTCAGATCACTGCTATTTGGATGTGAAACCATTTTTACTGCAAATACCGTAAACTCTGGTGTTTTACCGCCACTTATTTAGCTAAGTATTTAGCCTAGTTCTTTTCAGAATCTGTATGTCCTATACTTTGCTATTGAAAAGTGACCACGCGTCATTCATCTCCTAAACCCAATGATTACACTTTTGTGATTTGTACGAATCGTCATTCCACCACGCCGTTCCAGTTCCGTTGGCAGCCGGAAACTACTTGAGAACTGAGTACACCAGGAAACACCATTGCCTCATCATCGGCAAATAGTTGCTTCTGATTGAGGAGTGACAATTTATGTGCCCTTTATCCTAAAACACACGAGAAAAGCCGGCAAATTATAATTCAAGTATGTCGGACCTTTATGCTGAACGACATTTTCACTTCATATGCAAATGCGCCTGGGTGAGGCAAAACAGGTAACGATGAGGTAGCCCGTGCTATGTATTCCCTCGTAGTGCCTTACCGCATTTGTATCGTTGTCAATGTCAACTAGGTTGAGTGGTAAACGAAATATTTGAACAGACAGACTAATTAAAAAGCCATATTACTGATGGCGTTTGGTAGACTTTCTTGAAAACATCAGCCATTCAGTTCCTGATTCTCAGTTGACGATCGCTCATATGGTTTGCGTGTAAGCGATTGATCGTCATGTGAGTCTTCTAGGCCCCATATATTTTGCTAGCACTACGAAGTTTCCGGCGATTTAAGTCTGGTGCTAACTAGCTTTCTGATGTGTTGGTGTGACTGCTGAAGTTTCCATCACTAAGACCGGAATGACGAAGAAAAGCAAGCATTTGCAAATCAACCGACGTGGAAGAATAAATTGTTGTTTCCGTGTTTACTGTAAGACAAAATTATTAGTTGGGTAGAATCATTAAAGCAGTAGCAACAAACGGGATGTTTGGCTGTAGCATGGGCGACAGTATACTTCGGATGTACACGTTTTGTTGTGCCACCAGACCGCCGCTGCGTGCTGTTTGCCCGGCCGTTGGATATAGAGTCATCAAATGCCTATTTTCCGTGAAATTTACTTACCTGCATGTTCCCGATTCTCTCATACAATACATGTATACTGATAATTCAGTGTCTGGTTGCGGATTTGAAACTCCTTAAGTTTACATGCGACTGCACGTCGGTTTAGTGGCTTCATGGACTGACCTAATGAGTGTTGAAGTGTTCTAGTGCCTGGACTCTCAGGCACTCACCCTCTCACTGAGGAAAGCCATCCTACGAATGTCTTAGCAACTCCACATTTTTTATCGTTGGTGATGTTACCGTTCTTTGGGGCTTTGTAATCTAGATAACCGTATCAAAGAACTTCGATGGCTGTGTTATGATGAATTCAACTTCAACACCGTTAAAAAATGGTATTTTTTGTTACCCTCAAAATCCGGAAGTCGCACACACTTTCCGGTCCTACCTTATGGTTTGAAGCACATTTGAACCTGCAAGTGTATTCGCTGCTTCACTGCTGAAATGCCATATTTTGCCCACAAAACGCCGCTTGGATTAAGTGTAAGACTATTGAATATCTGACTTGTTGAACCAGTAAGTACAAGAACTATTGCTACAGTTATAACGGAGGCTTCTCTTTGATGTTTAGTGATTTGAAATAGTTTGAACCTCCAGCAATCGGGCGAAATTCAAACTTAGGGTTTTTCAAACTACAATCACTCGTAACATTACGTTTAGCTACGCGGACTGGTACTCCGTGACAATACTTTTGTCATCAGTTTGGAGCTTCATGATGACTGGGATTTATACCTAACGTAAGAATTCACCAGGTTCCCCATCAGCTTCTCAAACTTCTCCACAATTTGTACTGGAAATCATCGAACTTATATTTAGCTGCCCCGGAATATTAATCATAGCGAGCTTATAAATATTAATACGTCTGTAAACTCCAAGATAGTTGCAGACAAACAAATCACAATAATCTTATAGAAATATCACAGAAGCGCACTCGTCAATTTAGCCTACCGTTTGGAATCACCAAATCCCAAAAACCATCGCTTTTTCCATTGCTAGAAATCAGTATACAAAGGGATTTCCTCCATGTGATTAGGAATCGACGGGTTTGGGGACTAGGATAAAAACACCCGTCCCAGCATGCATTACTGTGCCATTGGTTCGGTGGTTTCCTTTCCGTCATCAAGGCATGATCCGAGCGTGCCCGATCGATTGGAAAGATAAAGTTGATTTGCCTAAGCTGACGTTTGAACGGGAGAAAAAGCACCGAGTAAAATTCCCGGCCCAACAATGGGACAAGTTCACTGAGTACCTTTCGACAACCCACTATTGGCCTTTCTCCTCTTGAGACCAACTAGTTACATGTGTGTAAGGACATTTACGCACATTTAGGAAACAGGGTTGAAGGGAAACATGGATTCATATAAAACTAATTTGGCGATTATCATAAGCGAAAACAAGAGAGCACACTAAATCCAAGTTAGTTTGTAAAGGACTATATGACTCAACGAACGCGCGACTTGTGAAAATTTGCAGTGCGGACAGTTGTGCAAGTTTATAGATTCATGAGGAGGATGGCCTTCGAACTTCGTTCGCAGTTAGGAAGTTCGGATTTTGTAACTGCACGCGCGCAGCAATAAATCCATTCTATTAAGGGAAATCTCCTTAACAATGCCCACCGCTTTGCTTGCTAAACTATTGATTATGGTGACTGAATGATACCACTAAAACAGATACCAACTCACGGGCCAACAACCGAATCATTCGAAAGTTGATTGTGGTATGAAAATATTTGCCGCTGCGAACGGTTACGAAACAGTAGTTCGACACTAAGATCATCAGGAAAGAAAACCTGGAAAGTTGCGATGCGCGAGTTATTCATTGGGGAATTTTCAACAGAAATATCGTCCTGCAAGAGGAGCTTTAGAGTTGGATGCTAATTGGAGGTGATTCCCGATGAGGATACAAGTGTTTGTCGGTTCTACAGCACTGAGTGGCTCCAATTCCCCGACGAAAACTCGTGATGTGATTACGGATTTCTTTGCCGTGGGTGATTAATTGATGCAGAGATCAGTAACTCAGATTTTATTGGTGATTTACCTTCTTGAAGGATGTGGCCGTCAACCACTAATATAGGTAATTGTGCTAGGTTTCCAACAAAACAACTTGTTTGGACACTTAGACACCTTAGGAGACGTACGATAGTATGGCACAAGATACTCGTCTACCAATATGCATACTTCTCAGGCGCCTGGATACTATGTCACCCGACTAGGTCACAAGGGCTATGGAACTGCCAAGTTACCCCTGTCTAAGCAGAAGCCGTCGAGATGCCGGAGCTGGGTTTGAGCCACAATCTCCCAGTCAGTATGTTCACACTTCAGCCACTGTCCTGTCTCGAGCTCATAATACGCTATCAATTGTACCTTCTCAGAATGTACACCATGAGAGTTCTCCTCAAGCAATACCATGTCGAGGCAGGTTTAAGAAATCAATAGTTACTTAATGCAGTAACGCTCTCACTATGATACTTGATAAACAGATATGCGCTTCCGCGACAACGCTGTTTTGTTGTTGCCCGACTAAGGAAATTACACACCTCTAACGAGGCCGGATAGTGAACAGTCTTTCGTAAAGCGCCCAAGGCCCTTGATCATGTAGCGATCTAAGTTTTTCAGCCACCAATTGGGAGATTAGATACAAGTGTGTAATTCGTACGGCTTCACCTACAGTCCGGTAGCATGACGACAGTACGAAAACAGATCCAGGTAATTGCGACCGAAAGTGGAACAACTGGGGCTGTTTTCATGTGACGCGCAACCAACACATCTCGGAGAATTCCCACTGGATATGACTCTAATCTGTATCACGTGAGTTCCATCCTAAAAATTCGTTGAAGCCACAGACTAAACTATGGCCACAGCGAGTACGATGGATTCCTTGTGTGTGAAATTGTGTGAAAAGCACGAGCGCGTTGTTTACTCTCGAAAAAGGAAGACGTCTCGGGTATGAGCAAAAGGAATTCGAGTTCTATAGAAGTGGTCATCAATTGAAACCCGGAGGATCATCGGAAGAAAAATTGCAACAATTATGCATTTTCTGGTGGATAGGTTGCCAATTTGAATGGTCGACGACAACAGAACATCCGCTTTGATGTCATGCAACGTTATCACGAACTTATGGGCACAGCTTGACTAGCTCGATAAGTCAGGATACGCGACGTGCCGGATATCACCCACGAACATCCCGCTAAGTTACAATAAAGACAGGATAAGGAAACTGGAAAATGGGACGAAGCAAAAGATGACAGCCAACAGACAAATTGAATGTTAGTGTGGATTATCGTCTATCTGGACCAGTACTCGGACACGAAATCACTCGTCGCCACTGTGGCAGATAACTGACAGACTGTATATGGGCTTACGATGTAGTGTAGCTTCATTCGGATTGATATCCTTCCATTAGAGACACCACTCCGCTTAAAGTCCAGAAAAGTGACCCTGACAGCTACGACCTAGTGTGCGATGACCTCAAGAAAAGGACAACTACCGCGTTTCCTGATGTGGTCTTTCTTGGAGGGTCGAAATAGTCTGCGAACCCGTAATGTGGGGAGAAAAAACAAGTAGTCGTGGTTCATAGATATCACAGTCAGCATATGGAATACTAAATTGAAATGATCCAACAATAACTGTTGTTACGTGTTTGGGTTACCAACAGTGTGAAGAGGGAAACGGGTAAACGGGGTAGAAAATAGTATGAGTACGGCAGTAAACTCATGTATAAACAACCTAATAGATCACAGATAGTTCATGGAAGTAGTCCTGAAGTTCCAAACTTGTATCCAAACAATCTTTCCTTGTTTGTTTGAGCACAGTATCGACCTAGAGACAAAACAATGAAAAACGTAACAAGTATTAACCGACCAGCTGAGGGAAAAATCCAATGAACTAAACACCTTATGGGAACAAGAACAAGGAAGCTGGTTAGTGGATTTTAACAATTCACGGTCTGCAATTTTGCGTTATGCGCGGTCGATTAGAACCTACTCTGGTTGAAAAAGTTCACTCGGGATTAAGGTCAGTTCTTGGAGGTCTTCGACCCTCGCTAAATCGCTAACCCGATACCACCGCACACACCAGTTGGCCGACTCAAGAAGCGGAAGGAGTTGGCTGAGGTGCTTGCATCTGTGAGAGCTCTGTAATAGCTTTTCCTTAACCGATCATACTCATCTCCTCAACGAACGTCCAGACAAGAGAAATACTGAGAGTGCGTTGTTCCATTCGGTACTGACCCACTGCTGAAAGTGTACTCATATAATATGACAGACAATTCTGTCCCATGGGAAGCCCACTCGGAATCCATTTGACTTTTTACAAAACGGTGGTTATTTCAGGAAATTTGACCAACTCGGGTTGTCTACACATAGGTATTGCACTCGTTCTCAGCTGAAAGCCCGGTGATAGTTCGGCTCCGAAATCAAGTTACAAGCACAGATTTGTCCTGTATTGAATTCGGAAGCTGTATTTACGGGTTATGTCGTGCCAGGACTTTCCCAACAGCCGTGACAGGTATACCGGTTACATTTCCAAGTAGTGATAACAGTTCCCCGTCCGACTGTTGTGAAACGAATGTATTCTGTAGCTAACATCCTTTTCCCACCACTAAATACTTAATTCACACGTACTTGATTAGATATTTGTAATTTACGACAGGAATAGACAGCTCATAAAAATGTAAAGAAAAGGAACCATATTCACTAGACGGATGATGTCGCTTCGATAAAAAAAAATCAAAAAACCGTGGAGTTTCACCCGGAAATTTTCTTGGGTTGCATTCAAAACAGACTCAAGATTACGAGCATCATGGGAAAACCAGACAAGCCCGAAAGCACCCAGTACTGTAATCTGCCAATTCCACAAAAATACAAAATATGCCCTTGTGCTGGACCCGGGGCATCTCACAGTAACTGTGGGACAGGATAGGGCATACGTAAAGCAAAATCACACGCCACCAGAGTACCTCGGTGGCAGATACCGGTGAAAGGAGGAAAACCCTCTGCCGCGGAGTTGTATACTACAAAACACCAAGCAAAGTAAACCTCATGTATGCACCTTGTCTTTAAAAAACCGAATATCCGTTTACTTCTTAAACGCGCAATTGTAAACGCAAGAGTCCAATAAGTTCCGTAATAAACCCCACTTCCATTAGACGCGAAGCAGAGTCACGAGAAAGCTACATGCTACTCGCACGTCTCATCAACAGTATCAGCCGTTGCACTGGTAGTCTCACATGGAAACCATTCCAAACCTAAGTCATGACTTTCTTTGGGTAAACTAGTCAACTCCTCATGAAAAATCCCAAAACTAAGTTCAAGAACCTCCAATCAAGTAGTCTATCAACCCGAATAAACTGTGTCATGAAAAATTCCGGCGAGAACCTCATTTTTACAGTGTAGTGGTGGTGGGAAGGCAATGCGATGGCTCGACGACTTCGGAAGACACATTATTTCTTAATTTTGAGAGCAAATCCTTATGAACAAACGAAAAATCACTCCGACACGATTACAAGTTACCACGCAACCAAATTTGCAATCCATACAGTCCAAAAGCCTACTCCAAGTAACTGACAGTGAGATGAAAACAACGTCTTGTTGTGACGTAGCAGGGTAGTTACTAGGGGTAATCGTAATGTTCCAATAGACTTGTCGTAAGTACTGTGACAACCGGAAGAAACGCTGAATGCAGTCTCTGTGTTTCACTACAGTCCAACCGTGGGCAGAAGACGTGCGCAACGAAGCATGACTGCAAAATTTTAACAAAAAGGCACGTTTTTGTTCAGCAATTTGCAACGTAATGTGCAACAGAGTACGTTCTATGCCGCTATCCGCAAGCTCATATGTTTTCATTCAACATCAGTCATTGTTTCCACGTCAGACAAATGCGTAGAGGACATGTAGAAAACCGGATTTCCAAAACATTTGCATTGGAGCAGTTGATTAGTTGGACGGAAAGTAATCCCCTGTTCTGCATGTTTCGATGAACAGAGAGATACTTTACAAACATCATCATGATAAATGACAAGCACAATGACGAAGAATATCGATATCCCAGTGTTCTCTTGCATCAAGAAAGACAATATCAGAGAAAAAGATACCTCAGTAAGATACCAATAAATACATGGCTTATTTGCATGACAAAACAAACACATCAAATCGCTGAAGACTTTCGGTTCAAAGAATCGAATGAAGCCGACAGAGGGAGCTGTCGAAAAGTCGGTGGCGGAATCGAACTGCGAGCGTTTCTACTAATTTTCAGCTTTTCTCATAAGCTATCTCATGGACTGCATCTGTATGCACCATTCTACGTTCCTCAGTGAAAAGAACCGGGGGTGGCGACATTCTATGCGGAGCCACCAGAGCTTGAAAACTGCCCAAACACTCGTACCTTCTCCAAGTCTGAAAAATTTAAATATTCCTCAGTCATTATACAAAAAAAGATGAGGTGGTGCGAAATTCCAGATAAGGAACCTAAGCGTATATGATGCCGAAACGACATAAGCGGGAAGCATAGCATCCTCTAAATCCACATCCATTCCAGATCAAGTCAAAACAGCCAGCGGTTAAAAACCAACCCAACTGTTCAACATTGGCACACTTTCATTGCACAGCTACTGTGAAAGTTTAAAGCATGACCATTGAGATATTGTCAGGCCCCCCAAGCCTAGAGAGGAGCAACCGAAAGACTAGTTGGATTTGAACAACTGACCTTTCGATCAACAGTCTCCTATTTTAACCGATGAGCTCGCCCAATGGCTATCTATGGATATCAACGTTTAGACCATTGGGGAAACTCCACAATTGTCTTACTACTAGGAATGGGAATCTTCGGCTATTGTTCTGTTGGGCGACCGTGTGATTATAAACAATAGCCGGGCTCTGAAAGTTCAGCAACACCTCACAAAAAGTTAGACTGTTTTGTCCACTGATATCGTAGAAATTCCAATCCCGCAACTTTGAAATTAAACTTTCAAAAAACATAACTGTGGGCCGATACCATAGAAAAGAAATAACATGGTTTGGTATTAACTTTGCATGGTATGAAATCGTAGTCAACAATCTTAAATGCAATCAGAGAAAATGGAAGTACTATGCTTAATGGCAGGTCACACTTACAAGGCGAATATACCATACCATACAACGCTCGATTCTAGAAGAAAACGACAATCTATGCCATCATTGTACGGAAAGATCGTACGGAAATGCCCCTTTGGTATTCGCCCTAGAATGCCAGTTAAACACCGACAATCCAGAATTACTGCTTGTCCTTGAAGACTTTCTAGAGGGCCGAGTGGATCAGGATGTGGATGAAAGCGAACAAGAATTGACGCAAATTCGGAAAACGATAATTCGATAAGGTCATTCGATTGACTGACCGGTTAGAGGGTTCCGTTGTAAAGACCACACACTTGTATGATGCAGTCACTGTATCGCTGCGGGACAACCAGATGGTTAATTAGATTATACACTTCTACAAACCGATAAGCTAAAGCTCACTAGGAAATTCAGGTCACCTAGAAAACACAGTAACGAATAGGCTGATCAGTCACTCCCAAATAAAGTATTCAAAGAGGATATATGTCCACACGAATGGACGGGTAGTACACTGAGCCTCAATGTTCTGACATTCCTACACGAATGGTGGAGAGTGACACTGGGACGGGCGGTACACTGAGCCTCAATGTTCTGACATTCCAATCGAACCGAATTCCAGTTTCTGGTAACGTGAGATTTAGGGTGTTTCTGACGAAAAGTTCGTGGGGCTAATCTATGCTAAAAAGCTGAAAAGCGCTGTATAGCTGTTTCAATCCAACCGGGAATTATCAGCAATACAAGAAACTCAGAGAGTTTCGAACCTGCGACTTTCGGTCAGTGTTTGGGCAATTAACCGTTCGATCACGAGCGGGTGGTCCGCAGGGTGAGTAGCTTCCACTTAGACAAGATATAGCGCCGTTCACCCTTCGGTTATAGGAATCACATCGCGTGGTCACGCATTGACTGGCTCCTCGAGTGATTTCTCCTCAGATGGGAGTTTCACTCATCATCCTTTCTCTGAGCCACTTATGGTTTGCTGACCCCTTTGTCGGACAGCTGAGCAGGCGTCAACCTAGTTGATTTGACAGCATAGGGGCGTCGCCTAGTTCGGATAAGCTATTAGCAGAAATGAGTGACAAAATCGAGTCACGCCCACAAACAAAACGGCCACTTTTCACAGAGCATTCACTACATCGGGCGACGCATAGATTCGGATACCGTTGTTAGTCACAGAGCCCATATTCACGCACGTGCGATGAAAGAACAGCGGATGCCGAATTCAACCGTCATCCGATAATTGACATCATATCAGGGAAGGATTAAGTTACTTGCTGAATGGAGTACAGTTCATATCAGGAGTGAAAAATAAGGTACATCGAACCTTGAATTTTTATTACTACATGTGCGATGCTCATGGAATGGATTGTTTACTAGTAACAGTACTGACACTATAGCTACAACATACTGCACAATACAAGACAACTTCCACGAAGCGAGAGTGCTTGGCTAAGCTAGAGGATCAAATTACCTCAGGTAAAGATTAAGTTACTTGCTGAATGGAGTACAGTCCTGGAGTGTAGAATGCCGTCAAGTAACTTTAACTGAGGAAATCGTTACCCACAAAAACACTGCCGCACATAACTTCCCTCAGCGAAGACCATCCATTCGCAAACGGTCACTTTCAACAACACATTATCAGCGAAGTCCTTTAAAAAGGAAGGACTAATGTTAGAACCTGAGAACAAACGAGAGATTCAGCTGGGTTCCAGGTGAGTCTCTCGAAAAAACAAATTAGTTTGCAAATGAGTGTACACTCGCTAATGTTAGAACCCTCAATGGAAGGCTAACCACATTTCCCCTTTGTGAATGAGGTATGGGATGCAAGGAGCTAGACGTAGCATGGAACAATCCCTATGCGTATACGCAATGGAAATACGTCATCACGTTTGGCGCTGAGTCCCCCATTCCAGCTACATTACATGTTTCGCCCACTGATGATGTCATGCGTGTACTAAATACCTCACTTTCTGAATCAGTTTAGGACCGGTCTTATTAGCTTTTCTTAAAACACAATTCCTTACCTGGTTGACTCTCAAAATGTCCAATAGAATCCTCAATGGAGGGCTAACCACATTTCCCCTTTGTGAATGAGGTATGGGATGCAAGGAGCCAGACGTAGCATGGAACAATCCCTATGCATATACGCAATGGAAGTACATCATCACGTTTGGCGCTGAGTCCCCCATTCCAGCTACATTACATGTTTCGCCCGCTGATGATGTCATGCGTGTACTAAATACCTCACTTTCTGAATCAGTTTAGGACCGGTCTTATTAGCTTTTCTTAAAACACAATTCCTTACCTGGTTGACTCTCAAAATGTCCAATTTACGAATTACTGCGGTGAGCTCAGTCGGGTTCTTCGGCAAAACTACATGTGGTTAGTGGCTTGATTTCACAAGTGGCAACTGTAATCCCCGAGTTCATTGCTATTACGGCAGCAGATAGGTCCCGGAAGAACGGAAATAGACTATAAACCATAAGAGGAGACCGCGGAGCACAGGTTCATTCAAGTTGACAAGAACTTATACATCACCGTCCTCGAAACAAAAAAGGCCGCTATCTACATCAAAAAAATAAAATGGAAACGTAAAAATGGTGCTTCAAAAAGTGATTTATATAGAACATCAAACGGAATTTCGTACCAGGATTTCGAACAAAGGAGCATCCACCTGGTCGTTGTACACATCTGGTACGTCCAAATCTTCGTAGACTCTTAATGTTAACGAGTCGTAGTTTTCACGCACCAGAGCCAATACCTGTTTGAACGTAAGAAGAACAGCTTATCGAGATCGGTAACCAAAACGCAAACCAGAGGAATTGGCAGGCTATGATGGGAATTGAACGAACAGGTCGGTTACATTTGTTCACTTCAACAAAATGCGTATGGCTCGGAGTGATGTCCATTTATGCTACCGGGAACTCGCCAATCAATAAATTTTCTGGTACATCCAATGAGCAGTCTAGGCAGAAAACGGTAGTCACGAAAATGCCAGGTCTTTTAGGCCTGAATAGATTGACACCATAGATCTTTCTGGACATCACCTCAGGTCGAATACTACATATTCTTGAGGCAAATTGCTTTGCATATGGGAAATTCAACGCCCAGATAAACTTATCATAACAAGCAAAGCATGTGTAAGATGCAATCACGACAACGCTCTGCGCCGAAGGAAAACTGAAAATATGACTTTCAACGATAAGGTTTGACGTTGAAATTCCGAAACCTCGGGTCATAGATGAGCTCAAGCGCTGAGACATAAACCGGATGATGGCTGATCGTATTTTGTGAGCATTACGGCCCACTTGAAGAAGTCGATGTAAACAAAATAATTAAAATGCTATTGAACGCATGTGTGCTTTTCAGCGAAAACTCCAGAATTATGTGGAATAACTTCCAAACAACAGCATTGATCACATTCACTGTTGGAAAGTTAGAGCGAGTTTGCATGGCTACACATACCTGCGTTTCCGTTAACGAGGTCGAGCCACTGGCTGTCGAAAAGGCGGCAATCTTTGCAGTGAAATGATTGACAATCGAACTAAAAGGAGAAATACAGTCATGAATTGGACACAAAACAGCAAAAAAGTCAACAGTAAGCATAGCCCATTATAAATCTGTCGGAGATATTTATCGGGCGTTTTGTGCAAGGATCCTACTGAAAACTGTCGTCAACTGGGTTTACCTTGTCACCTCTCGGAATACGGTAACAACAAAAAGACTTTCTGAAACTCATCTTTGGATGGCCCTTCACGCAATGATGGTCGCATGATAAACTGAAGAATAGCAAGTTGAAGGTAGCTAGAAGCCCCAAATATACCATATCCCAAATACCATACATATATACATACATACCAAACATGCAAAACATTCTTACGCAGTCCACATACTCTTAGAGCAACGACAAAGTCAGTAACATGCACCTAAATATGGTGCCACGCTTATGTTGAGGGGAACCAGAATGAAGACGCGAAAACAAAGGAAGTTGCTGTTCTTACAAAGTGATTTGTAACTCCAGTGCACTCCAGACACCGATAACCAAATTATGACGATGTCTTTTCGCAACAAAATTGTGCGATACCTACAGGCAGCTACAACTGGGGTTATGATGAGCCTCAAGAATAAGTAATCGCACTGGTAGCAGCTTGATCGCATTCCTAAAATCAAGCTGAGTGCGGGTAGAGGATAAATTGATATTAGATGGCTCCCTCCGGAACACGTTAGTTGGTGATGCCAAATGCACCGCTCGAGTGAAACTCTCTCGCTAATTGAGGGGCTCGCTAGGAACAGATCGCTGCCACTTGAAACCCCTAAAGGTTAAGATCTGACTCATCAAAAGTACAGAGGAGTGCTAGCGCGCAGGCATGTAGAAGCTTTCACGCGACCAAAGATACATATCTTTATGTTCTCTACATGCATGAATTGCATTCCGAAATGACTGATAAGAAAAATGCACGCATTTATATGGCTCCTGCCCGTGTGCAAACAATGGTGATTAAAAATAACCACTGAGTTCTTCAAGCCGATGATCGTAGTGTAATACAGCCACAGAATAAGCGGAGCGTTGTACGTGATTTAGTACATTACCGGAAGTCTCACACAGTGACGACGTCCTACAGCGTCAAGCAAGCTTCCCAAGCCAGCCGCTGAAACACTGGACCATAAATTGCTATGGGCGGATGTACTAATCAAACAAATACGCGCGCCAGATAACAGGAAAGACTGTTAAGATAAGAAGTTGTTCAAGAATGAATGAGACAAATCTTACACCGTTTGAAAAGAACTTCCTCGTTAAACCGACGGACAATAAAAGCCCGAGTAAAAACCGTCCAGCTAAACTGATCAAGCAGGTAGTGCCGAGAAATTCACAATTTTTCACCAGCATTGTTTGAATTGTCGTAAAATCTCAACAAATCTCAACAAATCAAGAGGCTTGAGCGAAAACGGGCCTACTGTTAGACAGCGCGATGATACACTAAGAGATGGAAAACATCAGAACAACAAATACGGCACACTCAAACTAACCGAAAGAGTCTAGCGTAAACAGTAAGCTTACTGGAGGTTGTTAAGCAAAACGGAACAACACGTCGGTAAGTGACATGAAGTGGATTGATGGAAGTGGTCGACCGGATTTGCGTGCACCCACTTAAGGGTGCTTAAGAAAAAACACCACAGATAATGGGCGTCTTGCAAAGATAGGATTGAGGGGATGAAGACGCTTACGAGTGTTGACAACGTCAACAACAACAGGAACAACGAAAACAACGAAGAGAACTGTGGTGAGGCGGACATCACTGTGAAACTGTGAAATGATACCTCTCAGGATTATATTTGAATCCATGAGACTTGACACACTACTCAGGGTAACAAGTACATCGCAAAGTGCACTGAATCAAATCGACAACGACCACGAACTAAGCTGATCGCACCTACTCAGTCGGTTAATATTACTGCTGCATCCCTCGTCGATGGGATCCTGCCCCAACGTTCCTAGCTAAGGAATGAATGAGCGGTACAAGAGAAAACGTTTCGTCGGCGCAAATCAAGGTAGCCATGCTCAGTGACTTCTTAAATTGATGGTATTTGATGCGCATTTATAGGTCAACCACGAAGAACATGACAACCAGAAATGAACTTCGTCATCAGAAATTACAAAGGGTTTGGATCTAGAAAGTAACGAAAAGTCCTTATCACAAGAAATGTATCGCCATAACACAAACCTCTCTACATCCAAGAAATCAAAAGAAAAAAGTGCCCCGCCAGATGGCAGGACATAACAAAGATAAAGCACATAGACATCAGATTAATAAAATGTTGGTTTTCAAAACATCAAAGTGATCAACAGTATCAAATAATCCAAAAACCGTGACTGTGATATGAAAACGCTTCCTCGCCAATCGAGGAGATAACCCAAGTGCACATTGGTTTTCGAAATCTAGTTGTATCTGACTTGTGCTGTTGGCCCACTGATTTTAAAGTTCAGTACACCTTGGTGGGATGTAACCCGGCGCACCAAAATGTTAGAGCATAATTTAGTACACTATGGTGTACTGTAGAGCATAAAATGTGGTGCGTGTGTGTGTATAGCAAAGTGTAGCGGGGCGCATTTTATATGGCAACAAAAGGCGTTGCCATTACCCTGTATCGTAAGCACCCCAGATTAGAGGACATATCCAGAATGGGAGCCTTGTGATTAATAGCACTGAACTTCTCACGTTGCTAGCGCAGTGGTCGCCCATTGCAAATTTCCTCGAATGAGTACATTTTCCGTTGAAAGGGATGATTTACCACCGACTCTCCCCGTAACAGGGGGGAAGTCGCATTAGAAGTCTTTGGAAGTCGCATTCTCGTTACCCAAACAGCTCACGTAGCCTAGGAGATTTCATTCTGCAAACGACGCAGTGCACACCGAGCCACTTATAGTTCAAACCAATTCAATTCATTAGCTATAAACCATTTACCATAGGCAGGTTGGTTCCAACTGCTACAGTTTCGATAACCGGAAAGTGGGAGTGTGGGAGATATTGCCGAGCCTTGGAAGGGACGAAATGTTCGGCTTCATTGGGGAACCGGGCAGCTACTCATTAAAGGGAATAACTTTGATGCATGAGCGCCACTGACTGCGCGACTGGGCCATTTCTGTCAGTGCCGCTAATCATTGGTGTATTGATTCCCGGGGTCCTCATCCAGGGAGCCGACAGTTGTCGAACCGATTAATTTCACTGGTTAGTGTTTTCGCACTTCGTTGCCAGTTCATACACTGTCCACCTCTCACTCAACAGAGGGCTGGGCGGAAACAGCTCTGTGAGGCAGACAGTCTTCAGGCATGCGAAGCACATGTCTTAACTAGCGTAACCTATGAAGCTTGAGTGATTCATCTGTCGCGGGAGAGTTCCCGCTTCCTAGGACCATCTGGCGTACGTCAGCATTGCTAATCCGATGTTCACACCAGAACTGACCAGTGCTTCGGAGACACCGACGGTCAAACACTAACATCTTCCGTATTTTATCTGAGCGTAGAGGTTACATCTCTGCTCCATAAATATGGATTGCAACACTGAGGTGTGAACGCTGCTCTCAACGGACAAACTGACACCACGTCGGTGCCATTAGATATCGGAGGTTGGCTATTGATAGATTGTTGGTACTAGATTTATGGATTTCAAGTGATATCGATTAGGAAATATAGGTTGACTGAATTTGTGACGAAGTAAAGTGATTCAAGAGGTGACCTTGCTCATTTAGTATTTCCATGCGACGATATCTTCACATGTTCCGAACTGATATCATATCCTTCTGGATCCTCTTGTGCGCAAAGAATAGAAGGCGAAGCAAGCCTTCTTTGTCATGTTCATTCACCTATTTAGGCAGTTTTCGTCCAATCTGTACGGTCATTGATGTTGAATGGATGGGTTACATCGTTCTCATCAACCACACACTTTTCAGGTATGTTCGGTGGTTCGAGCGTGTTGTTGTTGATTACTCGAGGTGTTTCTTTCACGAATATTTTTTCTGATGCCTGCGTTAGGGGACACTGGCATTCCACTGTAAATTAATGGTGGCACGGTGGGACGGGGAACTTCCCAACTGGTATTAGTTCGAGGCGATCTACCGGCGAAGGCTCACTGTCGATCGTATGAGCAAATGATAATTCGGATGATACACTGAATAAAATAAATAAACAAATAAATACCGGGACCCTTGTTTATCGCACACGAAACAGAAGAAACAGCACTTTATTAACACCACCCTTACCGTCCACAGGCAGTCACCGCATCAAATGAGGATTAAGTCTAATATTGATGCTGCCCAAAGCTGTGCTAACACAATCATTTAAGTGACCAAAATAATGTGCATGGTATGGCACCATCAGATGACATTCTAATTCAAGTAGTTGAGTTATGGAGATCTCAAGTTGTGTTGTAAAATTTCATTCAGCCGATCGAACGAGAGACCAGCCTGAAAATCGACCAATCGTAAACGAAGATTACTGGAGCATATTTCAGAAAGAAACTCCCGTTCAAAAGAGAACAACCCGCAAGAGAGCGCTGTGGTCCCTCGAGAGAGGATGGTGTACGACTGTGTTACTTCGGAAGAAAAAAAGGTTAGGAATATTGGCTTTTTGGAATGGTATTTTGCACTGCTTGGATATTGTGTGGTATTAACGGAGGGCCGGAGACGTGTTGTAACAAGGTCTATGAAACTCAGATATCATCACATGGAACTGAAGTGAAGTGAGTGGCCACAGGACTATTGTATGATTATTATCCCCGACAGCTGTAGCTGGCAATCATTTGTGTTGATGAAAATGCTTAGCTGGGTTGTCGTGCCAAAGTCTCAAGCTAGGCGATACTGCCCCAACGCACATCCATCGTCGCCTACTGCAAATCGCTGTGGACCGTAGTTATTCGGTGCATGTAAATAGACCAGAATGCTACAAGTCCTGCTATCAAAATACGATTGTTTGCCAAGGGGCTATACAACCACAGTGACCATGGATGACACCAATCCGTTTGCCCCGATTAGGCTTTGAAAAGAGCCTTTGAGTTACACGTGGTTCCGGCATATTGAAATCAGTCAGCAATGGTTGATCCGATTCGTGATGCACTGACAACACCTAACCAGCTATGTCTGATAACGAACGGCGTTCACACGAGCCTTGTATTGCCGTACTGGGTTGCCCACATCACATTGGCTAACGTGTGGTCAGACCCTTACTTGACACGGTCAAGTGCTCTTGTGAACACTTCCCTCTTCGCGACATTTGCCCGTTTATTGAGTGAGGAACCGAACAGATGATCCTCCTGTACCCCAGAAATATATCTGACCCACAGGAAGACCGAACAACAGGATTAATCGGGGTGCAAAAAGCAATGGGTTATACCGAACAACGTACCAGTTATCTGCACGACCTAAGCTACCACCATTCACCTCATAATCAGGTCAGACTAACAGCTGTAGAATTTCTGACTTGTAGCGACATTTGACAAAGTCTTGAGTTCCAAATCCTTAAAGCAGGATTATTAAAACGGATGCCAGCTTAGTAAAAATAGGTCATTAACAATTTGCGGAATATTTGGTCTATGAATCTGTACCATTTCTGGAAAAACAGGATCAGCCAATACATGCAATAAGCGGGATAACATTTCGGGAGGAAGTTGAAGTATCTTCAAGGTTTTTATCCTCGAATGAATAGTAAATTAGGTCGGAGAGTGTATTCTATGTACGACGAGGCCACCTTTAGGGGTAGTAATACGTACTTATTTACATCATTGTTCATTTATTAATGATATTTCATAATTTACTATTAGTATAATTACAACCATAATTTAATGTTCAATAATTCTGATCCCACTGTTCGCGTGCTATCTATAAAACAACAGGTAAGGATGCACACAGCACTAAGGGGTGGTGGGCTAAAGAGTTTGAGAACCATCGGACCATAGAAAAATTCTGAAATTCTTCTTAATGGATTGAAGAAATACACTGCGTTCCTCATGTCAGCTTGGACCACATTGAAGGATTTCAACGTTCCAACAGCTTATCTTTATACATTTTGATCTACCTACTTAATTGTGGATGACGTGGAATGCTACTGTCCCCACTTCAAAGCAGCAAAGCCTTTGGAGGCGCATATCAAAGTTAATGCGCTTAAAAAAAGAGCAGTGCACAGTTCTGGATGCATTTTTCCGATAAGCCTTGGTAGAAAAAAAGTGCTCCATACTCAGTCAGCATTCAGATAATCGAGTCAAGCTTTGGAGAGAATTCCTCCAGTGAGATTACACACTTTTGGTCGGTCCCGTAGGTGTTCTGTCGTAAGGGAAATCAAGCTGTCTCATATCGCATTTCCTTATCCCAAACAAGAGAAACTAATTACCGTTTAGTTAGGCTAATCGACCCCTCAGGGAAAGACGATAGTCGTGTAATTTTGGTAACTATCACATGGATAGGATGAACAAATACTCTGTGAGCCATGTGATGGATTAAGAAGTTGAAAAGCGAATGTTGGCGGAAAGTGTGAGAATACAACTGCAAACCCAGGCGACTCAAACTGTTTTTCCGAGTTCTGCATGCGCCTTATATTAAGCTAAACTCACAGTTATTCGGCCGTTCCGATACATAAGAGGATACTGCGGTTCACAACAGGAACAAAAATTGCAGATCGGAACAAGTGAATACCCGTATTATAAACTGTAAGTCATACGTATATTCTGCCTGCAGTTGTTTGCGAACACAATCAGTCGCGCAAATGGGTGGTCAGATTACAGCAGACTTCAAACCAACCAAAATTCCGTCTATACCTGTTACTCTTTGTGGATCGAGCATCGAGATGGGATATCACGATTTAAATGCGAATACTTGTTTCAACTACATTCCTGATTTAACGAAGTTAAATCAAGTTAAACCCAAAGTGGATGCCGAGATCCTGAAAGGCAGACCAACCGCAAGATGATAGAGTGAATGACGGGCTGGCATTCGTCCCCAGATTGGATTGTCACATCAAACTACACTGAAGGACATTCGCGCACAGTGAATAATATTACACCCATCGGAACGCTATAATCGATGTAAAACTCGGCTAATATGATCGCCGGGGCCAGTGCTAGTGCCAGCAGCATGTCCAACTGGTGATCCAAAATGGACGAATTAAGTAAGCAAGAATGAACAGATGAGTTCCTAGTGCACGCAAAGAGGCATCTACTGCACCCTAATGTTAAATTCCTTTGTATGCTAGGACGAGGTTATGGTCGTTTTCCTTACTTCCACATCAGTCAAGCATCAACAGTCATATTCCTATAAAGCGGCGATTCTACCGAGTAATCCACATCATCTAGGGAAGAAAAATGGGTCGGGTTTCGTTCCTAGCCGAGCAAATCCCTGGCCGCAATGGAGTCTGCACTCCGGATATGTGGAATGTAAGGCGAGTATACAACCACCGCACATTGCACGCAGCTGGAGAACCTAGCGTGAACGGGTGAACATGTTCACGACTGACTGCTGTGCAGCGAGCCCGACGCTCGGACAACCATTTGGTAACAATCCTGGCGGTGTCCCTGGTTTCACGTGCCTGTCAGGACGTCCCGATCAGACAGCGTAACTGAAGTCTGTTAACTATCAGACACACTGCTTGTTTTTTTTTGTGGCCAGTTGCAGGAATTGCGGAATTTGTTTCCATGTTGGCCGAACCTCTGGGGACGCATCCTGCACCTCGGTGGTGCATGCTCTTAGTCTGCCCCAGACTACTCTGAAAGCGAAACTTCGCGCAGCTCGAGACATACGCAGTCGTAAAGTCCTTACGCGTCTCTTAAGTCATCAACAAACGGAACCAATGTTACATCCTGACAAAATTTAACTGTAGGCAAGGAGCGAAATGCACGATACAGAGTCTATCTCGGGAGCAAGTGAATTCAGCTAGCCAAACGAACCGTGTTGTGATAATTTAACTGTATTCATAAAACATTTGCGTCCCGCAGTTACCCTTTAAAATTGAACACGTGTATATCGCAAACATGAAAAGGGTGAAAGACCTGGTTCACCTTAAGATTTGTTACCGTTGTTACCACAGGTGTGAATACCACCAGCTAATTAACGGGGGGGGGGGGGACGGGGGAATAACACGAAAGGAATA